TAACATATTCTAAGGAAAGGTTTAAGACAGTACAAAGAATGCAGTCCGGGTGATGTTTTGTATGTGGGGTGCAGATGAGAGAGCTGTCCAGAATGACACCAAGATGTTGTGTTTGAGCTCTTGATAAGCCATTAAAACAGTCAAATAAGTGTCTCCTGTTCACCAAAACATACCCATCTATTATGGAAAAAGAAAGTATTCCAAAAGTATTCTAAAAGTAATCTGCCACCGGTACCGGCGGGGATTGTTGTTAGCTTCTGATGCGCAGAAGAAAAATCTGGCCCACCCTATTTTTTACAGGCCCACCCTAAAGTACATTTCTGCCTACGCTACTGGTGAGTGTGTAAACATAACTATATAACTTACATTTCTGACCACAAAAGCACTGGGTAAATGCTAAAAGGCAATGTTTTCTTGGTAACTCTGTGTAAATAGGTTAACATTTAAAAAAAAAAAGGTTCTATTGAAAACAAAACTGTTCTGTGGGTATCTTTGACGTAAACAAAACATTTGCGAAATCTGAGAGAAATACCTTAAATTCTCTTCCCATGACTCCACTATTGACCCGAAATCTAATGTCATCACATGATCCAGAACTTCATTCATGGGCCCCCTTATGGCTGACTCCCCCTTTTCTGCCTGTTTTTTTTTTCTGCATCAGAGTGGGATGTCAATTTCTCTGAAGACCTTACACACAGCTTCTCCTTTTGCTCCAGTTGCCCATTACATGATGGAAGCCAGTCTGCTGGAAGCTGTTTGGATGGAGAGGATTTTTTATTGATGAGAAAAATAACATTTACTGGAAGTTTTGGGACATTTTTCCAGGTTTGCAGGTAGGAAAGGGTTGAGACGTTTGTATTTCTTGACAATCTCTCCTCTTAATATTGTTTGCAAAAACCTATGTATTCTGTATTTTTACCAGTACTCGTTCTTTATTACCATGGGTTTGAGACTGGCTTACGTATTTTCTATACATAACTTTTAATATAACTTATAACTTATAACCAGACCATACTTTATTACCTTAGAAATAGTTAATAGTAATGTCAAAAAAGTCCTTTGTGTCACTCTAAATTAATATTTCATGTAATTATGATACTATTGGCTGTATTCCTAATCGATGTGTTGTAGTAGTTCATGCTTTACCTCATGGTAAGGTAAAATATTACACTACATTTTGCTGCTCAGCGTTTTATTGTTTAAAAATTGAGCTTGTGCACCCTCTGCCGGCCATATAATATATAGCTTAACCAACATCAATGCTAGAATGAGCTATGGGAACATGAACATGCATTTTCTATTTGCTTGATATCATTAGAAAAAGATAAATAAGTTATGCCCCTTGGTATATCTCTCTAACACCTTTGATTTGCTATCCCGGTCTCTGTTTCTTCTCAGTGGGATGGGACTCGATCGCTTCATGTGTCTGCTGCTCTGTGCAGCAGCCCTGACAGTTTCTGCAGTTTTTGGTAAAGAAGAGAGCAGCGAGGCAAACAGGTGGACCAGACACAACCTGCCGCTGCTGCTGGACACACACACACAGCCTTTACACGTGCCTTTGTTCAGAGGACAGGAGGAGGATGAGGAGAAAGAAGGGACAAAAACATACTGTGGAATAGAGTGTCAAAGCCACCTACCATCTATGAACCAAACTGAGCAGGAGAGGATTCTGGGATATGAGACAATGAATGAGGATGGCACTCGCACACATACAGATATCATCTTGCATGGTTTCAATCAGACATCTACAGGACAACCGGCCCACTCCCCTGCTCCCACCCGTAGGAAACGGGAGATTTACGGAGCAGATGGACGCTTTGTGATCTCTGACTCGCATTTCATCACCAACTATCCTTTCTCTACTGCTGTGCGCCTCTCCACAGGCTGCTCTGGAGTCCTAATATCCCCGAAACACGTGCTGACAGCGGCACACTGCATCCATGACGGTAGGGACTACCTAGAGAGTGCCAGAAGGCTGAGAGTAGGAGTGTTGCAGCTTAAGACTAAAAGAAGAAGAGGGCCTGGGAGGCAAAGAGGGCGGCAGAGAGGTGGTGTGAATCAAGACGGGGTGAAAGGTGAGGAGCAGATAATGGAGGAGGATGAGGAGCGGAATAGTATAGATGGAGATGTATGGCAAAAGGGAGTAAAAGGAAGTAGGCTCAGGGGAAGAAAAGATGGTAAGGAGGGTGTAGCTGATCATGGGATTATAGTAGGAGCAGGGAAACGGAGGAAACGTATACGACGTAGTTCTGGTCCCATGAAGCAGCCTGTCTTCCGTTGGACACGAGTTAAACAAACCAGAATCCCTCAAGGGTGGATACACACCAGCTCCGTGTCCCCTGACTACGACTACGCTCTCTTGGAGCTGAGACGACCCCTCAAACTGAAGTATATGAAGCTGGGAGTGGCGCCCTCCGCTACCCCTCTGGCACGAATCCACTTTTCAGGCTATGACGCTGACAAAAGCCTGCTGGACGGACGTGGAAACGAGAAGGTGGTGTACCGGTTTTGTTCGGTGGCAAACCAGTCTCTCGATTTAATGTACCAGCACTGTGACGCGCAGCCGGGCGCCACAGGTGCAGGCGTTTACATCCGTCTGAGAGAGGAAGTGGGAGAGAAAGGCGGGAAAGAGAAGTGGCAGCGAAGAGTGATAGGGGTGTTTTCAGGCCATCAGTGGGTGGAGGTAGAAGGAGGTGAGCAGAGGGACTTTAATGTTGCAGTGAGGATTACGCCACCCAAATATGCCCAGATCTGTCACTGGATCCATGGAGATCCAAGACGCTGTAAAGATATTTGACCAAGCGATACAATAGAGACTTAATGACCTGGGCTGGTGTGTATAAAAGCACTTTAAAAGTATCTTTTATTAAAGTGTAAATCTTAAAAGAAAAACTGAAGGGCCAATTAAAAACTAAAATCATGCCCTTCCTCAAGTACTTAAAAGCCAGTAGCAGGCCTCTATAGGTTATGTGTCATGGCTGCATTACAGCCTCACGCACAATTCCATGCAGCCGACCTTTTATTATTGTGTTATATGCTTCAATATCGTTTATATATTGTAAGATGCAAGAATGCTTTTAGCAAATGTGTTGTGAACAGCTATAATGACAATTTTAAGTGCTGTTCTTAAATTAGTTCATGAAGTAGCCATTTTAAATGATAATCATCTGTTGAGTTCCCATAAAATGTCTGTTAAATACACTTCCAATTATTTATTTTTCAACAAAAAAAATAAAGAAATACTGCACATCCTCACCATTGTTTTGAACACATCATTGAATTTGAAAAGCAATAACACTATCATAACCAAGATCCCATGTATTATTCTAAATGTCTCTTTTACCAGGACTGTGACTGTAAATTGAATGAAATTACACTAAAATACAACATTTACAAATTCAAAAATATCTGTATGCTTTGGAAATGTGCACTCTAAACTCTCAAAAACTCTGACATAGTAATCAACACAATGACAATTCAATATTCATAAATGCCTGGAGAGCTCAAGATAAAAGGAGAATATTTCCCATCGTGCTTTGCGAGGCATACACATTTTCGGTTAAATCAGGCGAATACAAATAAGCCTCAATTCTGTCTGTGCTTTGAAGCAGCCACCAGGTGGCCACGAACATCCAGAGCTCTCACCGGTGAACGTCACTCAAACTTGACCAAGATGGCTGCTGTCTCCTCCCTAGATTTACAGCAGTCCAACGCGTGAGTAACTAAAGCCCGCAGTTTTGGCTAAAATATCATGTGCCCTGGTCAAATATGGGCAAGACAATAGATTTCAGTATCATGAAGCTATGTTCTTAATGATGCCAGTGTGTGTGACTGTAAAGTGTGAAGTTCGGGACTTCCCTTTACCAGGTCAAGTTTACCTGGTTATAGTGGCGTTTGGGTACTATAAAAAGATAGGAATTTCTAGTTTCCAGCAATAACCAACATGTTAAAGACTGACAACAAAATGACCCCAGCTCTTATAAACACAACTTAGTCTTATAAGGTTGGAATTGAATGCCTTTATTATTAAAATACTTGGTTAAAAAAAAACATAGTTTGTTTAAAGGCCTATATTCAGTATATATATGTGTATATATATATATATATATATATATATATATATATATATATATATATATACAGTATATCTCTTCTTTTAAAAGATAATTTTCCTTTGTGAATATTTGTAATGGACTCATTATGGCTCAAGGACAAAAGCAAAACTACTGTATGCCATTTTTTAAATAACATTTAAAAACTCTTCAAGACCCAGGAATTGTGATCTGAGACCAGCTCACCTCTTGAGTGACAGTTTGTCAGACACATCTATAATCCAGTAAGGCTGCACATGTCACGTGGTTTTGGATATGTGGACTAATCAGCCATTTAGTAGTTCATTTGGAGACTCTGGGAAATCTTGCGAATGAGTTAAAATGTCATTGTTAACTCTCCATTTTCTTAACCCTACATGTGTCTGTCTTTCTCAGCAACACCTATAACTTATTACATTACATAACATTTAATTTAGCTGACGCTTTTATCCAAAACGACTTACAAACAATAAGTGCATTCGACCAAGAAGATACAAACTTGAAGAAAACAGAATCATATAAGTACATCAGGTTTCATAGAGCCAAAACATTTCAAGTGATACTCAATAGGCTTTAGATAAGCCAGTCCTTTATATATAACACTATATGTCATAAATGCTTTGTTAGTATGTAAGTGCTTAGTTAGTATATAAATGCTTAGTTTTTTTTTGCTTTTTTTTTCATTGTATTGCTCGAAGTGGAGTCGAAAGAGATGAGTTTACTTTTGTATAGAATCATACAGGTACAACCTGTTGGTGCTCATTTTACCTGTTTAAAATATATTGTGTTGTATTTTTGTCCTTTTTGAACATACATGTTCATGCCTTAAACACATTTTGTTGTCCAAAAAAAATTATTCATGCCAATAAATAAAAATGTTAAGACATAAGTGATGAGCCGTGAGGGTAGTTTGGATCAGTGTATTTGTCTTTTATTGCATCTCATTTGGACTCACATGCAGGTGGGGGTGAGGGAAAAAGAACGATGCCATCCATAATAACCCCCCCAATAAACAACACAGCCTTCATTTGAATACTTAGCAAACATTATTTATCCACATTCTTTTTGTATTTTTTTACGTGTCATAGTCATCTTTGTTTTTCTGTCAACACTTTGTTAATGCCACAATGGATTAAGATACAGTCACTTTTGGAAATAAACAACACACAGAACATCAAGCAAATACTTGAGTGCTTTACAGTGAGAGTCGTCGAGACTTCCAGTGCCTGTACACCATCAAATGTACCGACCGCTGCTGCCTCACTCAAAGAGGACCGAGGCCACATCCCAATCACATACACAAATGTTTACTTTTCCCTTTGAGTTCCACCTTAACTTTAAGTCATCTTTTAGGAGACAGACAAGCAAAATTGTTTTCTGAGAATCAGGATGCAGTACCATTCCACACCAGCTGAGGGCGCAACAGTAAACACTCGAGCCAAAGTTTCCACTGATACTGCCTCTGATTACAGATTGAGAGGTATATACAAAGGTGGGGAAATGTTTGTCTACTTGCATTATTTTCAAACTTATAATTTGACATAACTAAAAATATATGATACATTTTGTTCTCTCAAAATAAAGATTAAAGAAAATATGTGTAATCTGTCATTTAAAATATTCTCAAATGCATATGTCAATTTCAACAGAGTTCACACATTGTTGCATGTTAATGACAATCCCTTAAGAAAAAAAATGAAACTGAACACAATTCCATGTGTTCGATGATAAATCCAGATTTGCAGTGCCAGTTGTTTTCAGGTACAATTGTTCTCCAAAAAAGTAGACAGGTGGGCGGATGGATGGCCAAGCAGATATAGGTACAACCAAGTTTTTAATGACATAAACATAGCTCAGTATTAGTTTGGACGACAGGGGTAGAGGAGTGGGAGTGGGGATTGGCCAGTGAAGTTACACACACCGAACACAGTCCACATTTAACAACACAGTCCTCGTCTGGGAGATGCGCAAAGAAACCAACATTTATCCACCCTTCCAAGTCAGCTGATCTGGAAATCCACAATGAATCTAAATACACATTTATTATTTTTTTGTTCATTTTTCCATAGTATATTAAGTAAAGGTTAACACTAAATTACACACACACCCACACACACATAAACAGAGTTTTGTTTGTCTGTATCTAGGGTTCACATTCACAGTTGTGCTACGACATGAGATAAGAAGGGCAGGGTTTTTTTTTATAGGGGTCGCGGCTGGTAGGAGGTCAGAGGGCAAAGATCGTAGATGGAATGGCTGGTTGGCTGAAGGGGCTGGGGCATGACGGAGGGGAAGGCAGTGGGGGGAGTGCAGACATCCACATCCACAGAGCTCCAGACACAATGACAACCCTACAGAGGAGGAAGAGAAAAATTAGACTGAATTAAAACAAGTACTCTCAATAGAAATTGGTGAAGTCTAATTAGGCTGAGAGAGACAAAGAAGGAGATTCAGAAATGTGTTGACTGGAAATGTTTTCTGACTGGCAGAAGAGTGGTTTTTGGCATTTGTATCATGTACATGCAATCCATTAAGTTTGGGGACTTGCAAGAGATAGAAGACAAACTAGTGTCATCTAAATAAAAAATTCTAGACCGTCTATCTCTATTAGCTTATTTGCACTGTATATGAAACTCTTCTTTACTTTGCAGAGCATTTTTTGCAAAGCTGTTTTTAATTCTGCTAATTTCAAATGCTGACCGAAAAAGAAAAAAAGAAAAAACATATATATTTACACTATTACAATATAGATATTAAAGACCATATCATGGGATGTATAGCATTTTAACTTGATTTTGTATCAGGTATTATGTTATTTGGAAATATATGTAGGAATACTATAAAAACTGACAATAAAGGATAGGTGATAGCGTTACATCAATACTCCCATGTGGCTCATGTTGTGCAACAGCAGATTCTGCTTCATACCCTTTACTTGACATAATAAGCTAAACAAATACATTTCAACTCTTTGCATTGAAGTGTTCTATTTTCTGTGTGTATATACCTTGAGGGTTTACAGGTCAGTCGGTCTACATGAAGTCCTTAATGTTGAGGTCATCCAGAGCGTTCCTCGGGGGTGCAGGCTTTCTGGGGCTCTGGGCCGCTCCGGGAGACATCTGCAGACACATTTACTTTTAGCACTTTAACTCTTTTGTCAGAGCAGCAGTAACGAGTTAAAGAGTGAGTGTGTTACCGGTGCTCCGGGGCCTGGCCTAGCCATGGACATCATGGTAGCTCCTGGTGCCCCGGGCTTATGGGAGAAGAAAAGAGACAGTAAGGAACTTTATTTGCCATCTGATGGGTGTGAGGGCCACCTTAAGGGCTAATTGTCCATCAATGTCTTGTAATGTCCAGACTAAGACATTACTAGACCATACTGGACTGGTGGTCTTACCATATTGTAGCAGGGGTGAGTCCCCATAAAAGGAGGAACACCCATTGGTACGGTCTAAAGGTGTGGAGGGGAGGGAGAGGACGAGTTGGGATGTTACTACACTACATAATAAGACACACACACACTGCAAAACAATACACAGACGTCAACATAAGTTACACATTATGTAAAGAAATATCAGTATCACACACAGATGATAAGGAATGCGGACAGACACACCAAACTTGACAAATGAACACACAATTGGGGCCCGAACTTAACGTAAACGTTGATAATAGTCCTTAATTTACTCATGCACAATGATTTTTCTTTTATAGGGGCAGAGAGGAAGCTTTTTGCAGGTAGCCTTCTGATGAAAATGTCATTTCTGTTGTTGCCAAAAGACAACTGAAATATCCAAAAGCAGAAAATGTGTCAATGATGGGGCAAGTTCAGATTTAAACTCAATTCCATCAAGTTTTATAAAAATATAAGCTTAAAAGAAGAAAAATCAGCTGTTTCGAAGGAACAGGTTCTTAATTCAGCACTAATATTTGCCACTTCATCACTCTCCAGTAGATATTTGCGACAAATAAGAATTATATTGATCAAAACTGCATGTTGAAATCTGCTAAAGACTCAGCTTTAAGTTTGGATATTTGCAAGTATTTACAATCAGCACGTGTGCTCTATTATACATTCTATGTGATGTGTAACTTACATTAAATCTACAAGTAACTTAAAGTTTGCTATATGTTTTTTAAATGAATATTTATTTATTTTTTCCACTGCTCAGTTTCCTGGGTCTGTGATTGGACCTGAAACCTGGAGAGCCAGATGAAGGCAGTGCTTGTGACTGGTGCCCTGACTGAGCTGCCATGCGGCTCCACTCCATGCTATGAGACACACAGACAACATTTACCATGGGGGCACCCCAACAGGGGGGAGCTACCTGAGCTGCCGCTGGGGTTCCCATTGAGAGATCTGAGAGAGAGAGAGGGAGAGAGAGAGAGAGAGGTACTGCAACATCACTGTTTTCATTTACTTACTTTATAATGACCATACAGGATAAAAAAGAGTTACAATATTCATTTTAATAGGAGCTACTGATAGTGACTTATAGTCTGCTAAAGGTTTCTACTAAAGGATTGACTGAACAATTTTTTTGGGTAATAATTAATGGTTATGTTAAGTTATTTTTAATGCAAAAAATGCTGTATTCATCCTGTCTGATATCAGGATTTTAGCTAAGGTGAATATCTTTGGGTATTGGACCAAAAAAAAAAGTATACATTTTTAGTATTATCTTATACACTGAAAAGTTGGGATGGATATTTTTCCCTTTCTCAAAACATCCGTTAGACCAAACAGTAAATTAAAAAAGAAATTGGCACAATAATCAACAATGAAAATCATCATTAGTTGCACCGCTATAATTAATAACATAGTTTGAAATAGCCTTACTAGCTTTTATGATGAGAAGATAAATGCCATAAAATGCTGAATTGTCATTTTTTTACTTTATTGTACTGATTAGACGAACAATATACAATGTATTAATTAATACGCTTTATATGTACTAATTAATAAGCTTTATATGTACTGGTCACAGTTGCAGTGAATAGTCTTTATGCTAAAAAAAAAGCTTGAAGTTTCAAATCTAGCATACAAATATCATGGTTGCATCCATCTTGTTTTTCATCTCTCACAAAGAGAGCAAATTAGCATGTTTTCCACCACAGTATTAAAATCAATATCTATGTAAACAACGACTTACTACTTGCCATGTTAGCCATGGAGGTGTCAACATCCCCCCCTTGAGGGGTCAGAGTGGGCTTCATTACATCGCCTAGTCCATCAAATACTACAGGAAGGAGGGAAGGGAGGAGGAGGCAAGGAGGGAGAGCAGGGGAGATATTAGCGTCTTTACATGCAAGCAATTCTCACACTAGCAACCCTCCTTACTACTGGGGATTACTATGACAACCAATATATGTCTCCATGACAACAGTGGGCCGAGAGGAGCATTGGCATGAGCTTGAGCGTTAATATCACAAAACAAGATATTTAATCAAATCTAGAGCAGTAAGTAAAATAGACCATTTTGTGAATTAAGATGATGATGTCAATTAGTGCAACCTGTATAAAGTCAGGAGACATCAATCAGGCCAGTTGCTTTACTTTGTTAATTTGTAATATGGGCAAAGGTAATAACACCTAGTCCAAAATGTATGAAGGATATATATAAAGCATCATTTGTGACCATATGTGCAACTAATAGTACTGCATTATAACCATCATAACAACATGCACAGTGTAAACAATACATTATCAGTGCTTGTTGGTCAATTATAAATATTTCGGGCCTTTGCTGTTTGTATGTAATTGCTGCAAAAATTATGAAGAGGGCAAAAGCACTGCAGTTAAAATGAAGCTGGGATAAATGCTAGAAGCTACTGCACACACTCAGGCGTCTCGTGGTGGAAGGGACAGTGCAGCTGAGCTTTGCCTTACACCACTGCAATGCAGCAGTGCACTGTGGGAAATTAGCGTGTTAAAGAGCAAGGAAACTCACCCAATCAAATGGCAGGAAGCAAGCAATGAGCCAGCCCAAGAGCCAGATGGAGAGGGAGAGTGAGGAAAGGAGAAAGAGAGAGGAAAGTAAAAAAAAAGCATAGATGCGAGAAGAAGAGAGAAACAATAAATGCAATGAGGTTTTAAAGGAGCGGGTGACAGTGACAGTTTATTGCATGAATGATAGAAAGAGAGGGGGAAAGAAAGAGTTAAGCCTTAAGCAGTTGTATTGCAGACCATCAGTTATATAATATTAAGACCAATGGCACTGGACAGGAGATGACTGGGAACCAGGTGAGCAGAGATCATGTTGCCACAGTAACAGTAACCGGGGATACTAGTCGTATGAAAGTGAAAGGTGGCACAGATCAGAGGAATTCCCCCCATAGACTAACGCCCACGGTAGCACTATGCAAATGAGGTGATGCTACGATGATGGTAATTTGACCATATATGGATGTTTGAATATGTAGCACCTAACAGTGACTGTCCTTCAATACTGAGCCAATGACGAGTGTTTAAAATAGTCATGCACAAGCTCTTACATGAATTATGATTCAGTGTTCAGATTGAGTCAGCAGATAAACAAACAGCTAACTATTTCATTAACCTTTACCAAAGTTAATAGAAACAGTGAGTCGACAAAACAACAACAAGTATAATAATAAGGTGGTATAGGGAAGCTCACAGGGGTCTTTATTCAAAGGATAATATTAGTACTGCCTACAGAGAATGAATGACACCTTAAGTCTTATCAAATGAATAAATGTTGATTTAGATATTGCATGAATAAAATGGAAAATCACATTTATATATATAATTATGTTTATATCGCATCTTTTCCAAATTGGAATATATGTTGTCCACTTTATAGTGGGGTATGCCTTTTGAAGTTGATCATCAATAAGCTATTTTATTTGAAGGCAGTTATGGAATGCCCATGCGCCAGTATTGTATTTTACTCAAATAACACATATCACACGTTACTGTATGTGTAAATGATAATGCTATTGGGGAAGCACAGTTACATTTTTAGGTTTATCTGATCATTTTAATATAGTCCCCTGTGGGCTTCCATAGAATCATGTACATACTTATGAACAATAGCTGCAGTCATGGCCGGGCTCTCACGTGCTGCTGCTAGTTTAAAAACTGCAGTGAAACTTTAGTATTAATTCAGGATTCAGTTTAGACTGAAGATTAAAATTGCACACATGGTAATCCATCCATGACTGCAGCTCAGTGCTTTACCAAAATGTTTGTAACATTTTGGAATGCCCTCCACTGTACACACATGCATGCAGAGTATCATTTTAGTTCTTTTTTTACCTGACATGAGCTCAGCACTGGGGGCAGCAGGAGCAGCGGCTGTGGCTTCTCCTCCTGTGGATTCTGGCAAGTCAACCCAAAAATATACCAAACCATGGCATTCCAGGTCAAAGTAGATTCATGAGCCATTCCCATCGCAGCATAAGGGCAAAGAAGGGGTAATAGTCAGCCTTCGGCTTCACGCTGGCAATGTCAAACAAAGTTTTTAGAGTTAGAGAGAATGGAATACACAATACATGTGTATTTCATAAACCAGGACACATCGTCTTTTAAAATATAAAACACACTCTCATATGCAAACATACACACATCTCAGCATTACGCCATACTCATTGACAGTCGCAGTAGAGCACCCACGTGCATTTTCAAGACATTAAAGCCGGCAAAAAAAGAAGAAAGTAAAACAGAAAGTTCCAAGTGCTTGCAGTCCATAAATCCTTAGACTATTTCAACATGATCTTAGCTATGCTTGTAATACTTCCGAGATCAACACACAAAGAGAGAGTTCACAAGGTTGTCCTTACAAAAGTTAAATGCAACAACTTAACTACCCAGTATTTATGACCATTTATAAAGCTTAGTACTAATATATATATATACTAAAATCACTTGAACGCGCTGTCTTTAAACAACTCTCCTGTTATCTCAATCAGAACAACCTTCTGGATCCGCACCAGTCTGGTTTCAAGGCAGGTCACTCCACAGAAACTGCTCTCATTGCTGTCACAGAGGAACTGCACACTGCCAAAACTGCATCCCTCTCCTCTGTCATCATCCTGTTGGACCTGTCTGCTGCATTCGACACGGTGAATCATCAGATCCTCCTTCGCACTCTCCAAAAACTTGGAGTTTCAGGCTCTGCACTTTCCCTCCTCACCTCATACCTGAAAGACCGTACCTACAGGGTGACTTGGAGAGGGTCTGAGTCCGACCCTTGTCAATTAACTACAGGGGTCCCTCAGAGCTCTGTTCTTGGTCCCCTCCTCTTCTCCCTGTACACAAACTCGCTCGGATCAGTCATTAGCCCGCATGGTTTTTCTTACCACTGCTACGCTGACGACACCCAATTAATTCTGTCCTTTCCCCGCTCAGAGACCCAGGTCGTCGCACGCATCTCTGCTTGTCTAGCTGACATCTCTCAGTGGATGTCTGCTCATCACCTCAAGCTCAACCTTGACAAGACTGAGCTGCTCTTCCTTCCGGGAAAAGATTGTCCCACTCTTGACCTAACAATCAACATCGGCACCTCAGTTGTTTCCCCGACTCAGACTGCAAGGAATCTGGGTGTGATCCTAGATAACAAACTGTCCTTCACTGCAAACATCGCTGCTACAACCCGTTGCTGCAGATACACGCTTTACAACATCAGGAAGATACGTCCCCAGCTGACACAGAAAGCGACTCAGGTTCTGGTCCAGGCTCTCGTCATCTCACGCCTAGACTACTGCAACTCCCTCCTGGCTGGTCTACCTGCATGTGCCATCCGACCTCTGCAGCTCATCCAGAATGCAGCGGCTCGTCTGGTCTTCAACCTTCCTAAATGTTCCCACACTACTCCGCTCCTACGCGCGCTTCACTGGCTTCCGGTAACTGCTAGAATCCACTTCAAGACACTGGTACTTGCTTACCATGCTGCGAATGGATCTGGCCCTTCGTACATCCAGGACATGGTTAAACCGTACACCCCAGCGCGTGCACTACGCTCTGCATCAGCCAAACGACTCGCTGCGCCCTCGCTGCGAGGGGGACCCAAGTTCCCAACGGCGAAAACACGTGGGTTTGCTGTCCTGGCTCCAGGATGGTGGAATGAGCTCCCCATTCACATCAGGACGGCAGATAGCTTGCACATCTTCCGGCGCAAACTGAAAACTCATCTCTTTCGACTCCACTTCGAGCGATAGAACTATTAACGAAGCACTTTTATACTAATAAAGGACTGGCTTTTCTAAAACCAGTTGAGTAGCACTTGAAATGTTTTTGCTCTATGAAACCTGATGTACATTTATGATTCTGTTTTCTTCAAGTTGTATTTTGTTGGACGAACGCACTTATTGTAAGTCGCTTTGGATAAAAGCGTCAGCTAAATGCAATGTAATGTAATAATGTAATATCAGTGGTTTCATTTGATGTTTCACAGATTCTACTCCTCTTCTCTGATGATGCGTTCATGGACAGGGCAGGCAGAGGGAATGCAGGGCTGCAGTCATGTGAGTTACCCACCACCAAATAGGTTCATGATGGCTCCCGTAGCAATTTTGGGTGGGGGTGCGGATGAGAGGATGGGCGCAGGGGAGCTGAACAAATCCGCTGGGGAGGGCAAGGTGGAGATGTTGTTTAGAGCCCAAACAACACACACACACACACACACACACACACACACACACACACACACACACACACACACACACACACACACACACACACACACACACACACACACACACACACACACACACACACACACACACACACACACACACTAATTGACCATACACCCAAGCTATTGACCACAATTCATTATAATGTACATTTGCATTTGCAGTGCACGCAGTACATGCTGGAATAGGAAAGTAGGTAAGAGTGATTGAGTAAATGTTTCAGGCAGCTCAATAGCTTCCCGCTGACCCATCAGAGAGCAATCTCATTTCCTTTCATTCCCCTTCCCTGATCAAAGCCAAGGACAAAGCTGAAGTACAGGCAGGGCAAGACAGGATATGAGAGTGAGAGCGCACAAGAGTAGGTGCAATAAGGTACCTGCTGTAAACAAGTCAACACTGGTAGTGGGCTCTGCTTTGGTGAAGCTCGTGTCTGGCATGGAATCAAAGAGATCTGCGCACCCAGAGACAGAAATATTAAAACGCGGCTCAAACACTTGAAAGAATGGTGAGGATGCTCTCACGCACAACAGCCAACTGAAAAACCTTCAATATGTGCACATTAGTCTGATGAAACCTACAAAGAAGAATACAAGAGGATGGTGGATAAAGAAATCAGGAGGGTGTTATCAATAAGAACACAAGACATTGGATTAATACCTGATACCACACACATCTCTAATGTTTACCGCTGAAAATGTCAGTCGCAGGGTTGGCGGCGCTTGGAGCTGAAATGGTTGCGGTGGTGCTGATGGTGCTGGGTGTGGAGGTGAAGAGCGATGAAGGGGAAGGGGAGGGGGGAGGCTGGGGCACCACAGAGTTAAAACAGGCATCCAGCGAGCTACCCAGATTATTATTGTCCACTGTCATCATGCCGAAAAGGTCTAGACCTGAAGATGCTGCGTTGGTGCCACTGTCTGAGGGAGCAAAGGGGTCTTCGGGGAAGAATTGGGAGGGGGGGTGAGGAAGAAATGTGACACATCAATTGTAAGGGAGGGTGTTAGTCAGTGGCTTTAATACAACATAGATTAGACATGTTTTATGTGATGATGATGGAAATACTGCTATAAAAATGAAAGTTAAGGAGGAAAAGAATCGGAGAGAAATGATCGAAGAGCTCCAACACACTCATGCTGTCAGTCGAAACAACTAAAAATAGCAACTGTGAAAATAAATTAAGCGAAACCAATCAAACACCTTTACAGTGTCTAAATCTGTGAAATCCAAACCATACCTATAGGATAAAACAATCACCAGAAAACCACAACAGGCAAGCTTCTCCATAACAAAGTACTAAAATCTTCTGATGCCAAAAGACAAGAGACAAGAGCATTGTCTTCGATTGCCATGGTAACAACAACAGTTCTTTTCAAACATCCAACGAAACTAATAGCAAATCTGTACGCCTACTCTCCCTGCACAAAGCTTTGAAAGGAAACCCTGATTAAAACTTGAGATCAACCAGAAATGCACACATACACATCGACACAAACAGGTCAATAAACATCACGGGCAAAGCACTCAAACCAGTGGTGGAACTATCAAAAATAATTTTTGACCAACTAAAAGTGAGTGGGGTTTGTTTGTATATGCTGAATTGTCTAATCAATTCAGTTGTTCGGGGTTATTCTGTATGTCAATCTCTATAAAGGCGTAGGGACCAGGTGCAAGAAAACAAATCTAAAAATTATGAACAATCCAGACAAAACGGCAAGCAAAGCTTATACAAAAACTAGAGTACATCTGGTAGGCCTATTGGCTTTCAACTGGCAAAACACCTTAACCGTGATCACGGTTGTTAGGTAAATGTTCATTACCATTGTAAGTTAAATGTACTTATGATTAGTTTAGATTTTGGTTAAAAAGTCAGTCTATTGCCAAAAGTTTGAGGAGAAAAGCTACAACCCTGCTTCCTGTAAACTGGAAGCTATAGCCAGGTGCCCGTTAGCTTAGCACAAAGAATGGAAACGGGTTAATAACCTCACTCTGAGATTGATATAAATAAAACACCAACAACTTTTCTTTGTACTTTCTACTGTGTTATGTCAAAATGTAGTCTTAAAAAAAAGGCTATGGTCCACTGTAGCTAGCAAGCTAATTAAGCTAACGTTATCTTCAGAAACAGGGTTTTGGGCGGAGTTTTACATTTTTCTAGCTAACTCACTTAAAAAAAGGTATATAAAGGGATCATAAATATGTTACATACCCAATATACTAAACCAAATTGTACATCTAACTGTATGCTCAATTTTAGGTTGCTACTTTAAATTGGCCTATTTATAGTAGGCTACTATACTACAGAGTTAAATTCGACCACTGGATTATCTCACTCACTCACACAGACGCTCACACAGACACACTTTCTGTCACCCACCAGCTCCAGCGTTGGCGGCGGTGGGGGCGGACGTGGCGGCGGCACCACCTTCAGCAGCGGCTGCAGGGGCCTCAGGGGCAGGGGCAGGTGTAGAAAAGGCATCTGAGGTTCACCCAAACCCCATCAGAGGACAGATATGCCCACAGAGACAGAAACAGATGAAGAAGTGAAGATGAAAAGAGAAAAAAGCTTAGAAAATATTGTTGAGTATCTGTTAAAAATGGTAGTTTGCAGCATTGATATCAGACATTAATGACTGACAGATGAATAGACAAATGGGAATACAGACAGGAGGCACTACAGTAACTATTCATCTACTGCACAAGGTACTAAGCCTGAAGACCTACAAGTGTTTCAGTCGCCAACTGTAGCTGTAGCCATGTGACACAGTTTGATAGAATTGCTTTTCACTGAGGTCAAAGAAAAGCATGTCTGCCTATCAAACAAGACGCATGTGGAGAATGACTTTAGCAGTATGTTAAAAGCCGAAGGTGAGTGTGTTGCTATACATAAATAAATAATGCAGAAATGGGGAGTATTTGTACAGGAATTTTGTATTATATTATGTAGGTGCAAGTGATTGTCTCCTTCTTAACATTGTATTTCATATGTGCCCCAAAGTGCTCATATTAACAAAAAATAAGGATTAGCATTAGGAAAAAAATTGTAAACAGGAGCATTTTAAAATAAACAGTTTCGTCAATTAAATAACATATTTAATGAATTGGTTAATTTATATATATTACAAAATGTATTGATTTGAATATTTGATAGTTATTTGTTGATTTCAAATAAAGGCATTCTAGGCATGTGAAGCTGAATTGATGGAGGTCACTGTTTTTTTAGATGCAAATTTGTTAGCAGAATTCAGACAATATAATTGATAAATCAGCATATTTCTACATTTTGTGTATGTTTGAGCATGCAGTCGTCATAATTTGTGTGATGGTTTTAAGGTTGAGCTTCCCAGAGTGATTCTTTCTTAGAGAATTTTCTGGAAGCTCACTGACCTCCCAAAAGATCCATATTTGCGGCGCCAGTGGAGGTGGCGGCTGCTGTGCTAGTGGGAGGAGCTAGAGAGACTCCGGGTTCTGCGGCTGCAGGGGTGGGCGTTGCTGCTGTAGTGGAGGGGGCGGGCTCTGCCGTGAGGGTGGGTTCAGATAGCAAGGAATCGCCCATTTCTGCGAGTACCAACCGGGTGTTTGAAATTCCCAAATAAATGTACCAAAATAAACCCCAAAAGAGCAACCAAAATAACCAGTGGAGTTACCGTTACAACAGTGAACAAAAGTAAGCCAAAACAAAAGTCCAAATCAAATTAAAGCCAATTAAGAAGTTTAGGAATTGTCCAAGCAAAGCAAAATCCAAACGTTAACCAAATTATAGTCAAATTATCCAACACCATCCGGTCATAACCAACAAACAAAAAACAACCAAAATAGCCCCCGTTGTTAACCAAAAACAGACAATGGAGTATGTGGAGGGAAAGGAGAGAGGAAGAGAGAAACAAAGACACTACTCAGACTAAAGAAAACAGCTTGAGGACACAAACAGGGAGGTAACCATGTGACATTTGTACATTTACAGTCTATCTACATTTGATTTGGATTAAAACCCTGATATTATTTCAGGTTGCCTCAATGTCAGATAAGGGTTCAAAGAGAAAGTCACTGACATTTTGGCGTCCTGGAGGATGTTTAAATCTACACTTGTCTAGACTAGAAGTGAAGTGAAAGCAGAGTGAAACTCACCTGATCCAAGAAGATCTATGGAAGCAGAAAACAAATGAAAATACATGTTTTTTGACAGTTAACTAAAATAAAATATATGATTTAAACGCCAGCCTCATTTACTGTAAATGCTTTAATGTGGATTATTTCTGATGAACCAGCAGCTGACAGGAAGGAGGATACTTACCTCCCCAAGATGTGGGGGCAGCTGATGATGCTCCTGTGGGACCGGAGGAGGACAGAGGATCAAGGTCCAACAAGGAGCTGGAGGAGGCAGAAACAAAAAGCAAACAACATTAGATTCACCATCATTCGCAGAAGGTAATTATTTTACATTTGGCCATTGTATAAAGTAACTATTGATGTTATCAGTGATAGCCACAACACTGAAAAAAGGTACTTTAAAAGTCCTTAGCAGGAACTGCAGCTTTGGCTGATGCAAAAGCAAACAATCAATAGGTTTCCAAGATACTTCACTTAAAACTAAAAATGTTGACTGGTTGTGCTCAAGGAAAAGTCAGAGGAAACTTAAGTCAGCAGGATTCATCCTCTGGGAACCATGAAAACCGTCCATCTAATAGTTGTTGAGGTATATTTACTCGGGAGGTTAACCAACAGCCATAATGCTAGTATGGGTAAAAATAAGATTGGTACGTCCAGGAAGTTTTTATGGGTTGTCAAATACTTAAACTATATCATCAAAAATATATAAAATAACAATTGCTGCCAAATGAGCTCTTTATGGCAGAATTAGGTTACAATTTCTAAGCATTGAAATCTCAATGAGCCAACCCTCCAATTAACCCTCTTATTAGCACTAGAGCTTTGTTTGCTTGGTATTTGCCACAATATATTACAATTTTGTTATACGTTGTGTCTGATTTTGGAAGCTTCCTATTGGATGTGTGCCTAAAGATCCTACTCCTCATTGTGCCTTTCTGCAGGGTTTAACAAGGTTGCAAAGAACATTTAGTGCCAAATGAATGATAGAACGGCAGTGAAGAGAGAGAAGGTCACAGAGTTTACACTCACTCTTCAGCTGGCTCAGCAGGAGCAGCAGCAGCAGCAGCGGCAACCTCCCCAGGAGGAGGCTGCAGTGTGGGAACAGATTTGGCTGGAGTTGATGTTGGAGAAACGTTGTTTGTCGGAGACCCCTGGAGGATAGACAAGAAGAAGAAAAGCATTTGTAGTGGTGCATCAGACTGGAAGAGCTCAATAAAGACATAGACCGTTATGAATGTGCATCTTACCTTTGTTGGAGACCTGAAAGAGTGGAAGAGTGGAATACATATTAGTTCTCTTGCATGGAATTGACAGATCCCTTGGACATAGACTATATTTGTTAATTGGTCTTTTTTTTAAAGAAAGAAACCCACCAAGAACAAATATGAAAGACAAACAAATCAAATGTGATCATATGAAGGTTACATTTCCAAAGCAAAACATTCTATGTCCAATTGTTCAAATTGCTCTCGTTTTGTCAAGTAACATTTTACATTTTGTGAAATCTACACAGTTTTCTAATAAGTTAGTAAACTCCAAACAAAACACAGTATATGCTCACCCTTCACTGGTGATTCCAAATGAACATAAAGGGGGATAAAAGAGAGGAAGGATTAAAGGAAATTAGGCCTGTTACTACCAACATTTCCTTCATGAAAAAAATGTACTCAGATCTTTTGTCATTGTCATCCTAATTCTCCTGATCTGGCTTCACACTGAAAAGAAGAAACACTCAATCTGACAACGACTTACCCCTTCTTTCCACCCTTCACATCCTCCAGGCCGTTCATGTGTGTTTCCAGACTTTCCAGGATACTGCTGGGAGCCTGAGAAAAAAATTGAGAGTGAAGCAATCAATTGTCATCATTTCCACTTCTCTCCTAAATCGCAAAGTCAGGCTCTGCGAGAAACAAAAAGTTGTTAAATTGAGAGAAGGGTAGACAGCGCTTTAGAAAATCCCACTGCAATACCCATGCATGTATAAACACACACGCGCCATATGATTGTCAGAAATGCAATTAGAATGAACATGCTGACACTACATCCTGTAAACAGGCACTCAGCCAGGGCACCCCTTGTTTCTGTGGTTACCGGGTCCTCGAGGGGTGTAAAAGGACAGTCTTCGTCGTCAGAGTCTGCTAGATCCACCACTACGCCAGGGTGGAGGCACTGGGGTGGGGAGATTTATTGCAGATAATTCTTGGGTGTTTATGTATGTGTGTATGCATACTTGGACACAATCCAGGAATAAAATAAACCTCAGAGAAATGCTGAATGTCTTTAATCTGACTACACCTGCAGCACACATACAGTACAGCATAAGGTTGTGTGAGTCAGATGCAAAACAAGACGATGAGTTTCACTGTGGGATAATGTGGCATTTCTTTCTTTTGTTTTTAGGATCCAGAACAGTGAAACTTTTAAAATAAATTCACTGGGTTTGTGTTGAATTTAACTAAAGACTACAGTAGGCTATGTAAGGTATACAGTTAAACAACCACCAGCTGGTACTGGCAAAATAAATGCAGACGAGAATCAAAACGGTCGACCAAGTGGAAGTCTTTTCTGTGATTTGGTAGTTTAATAAAATAAAGAAATAGACACCTTATGACAGATTTCTGTATTAAAAGGCAGAAGTTGCACAACCTTGCGTACAAATTATAAATAGCAGACTATATTTTTCAACTCATTGAGTGGATATCTGTTCTTACACACTGTTCTCACTTATGGTTTAGCCTGTTTCATAGTTCTAATAGAATGGTAGTGTTGTAGCAGAACGGAGCGCATACTTTGCAGTTAATATCTAAGAGGCACGATATGCTTTACTTACGTAGTTGATGTCAGGAATGTCGTTTTTCTCAACTCCCACTGTCTGTTAAAGAAAAAAGCATTACAACATTGCATTCTCATGTTGCTATGTTTTATTATGAAGGTGGACGGTTGGTCCCTTACCTCAGCCATCTTCATGAATTCCCCAATCTTTGTCACCCTGGTCAGAAACCTCTTGTAGATCTCCAAGGCCTCCTTACAGTCACTCTTCTTCATCTTGAAGTATTTCTCTACGTACGGGAACAACAGGTTACGATTAATTGTGTGTTTTCGTATTTGAAATGCCAAAGTGAAGATACCCATGGACTACGGACCTAGTAGGTTGATGACTCCGTCATTGTAGGACGCAAACAGTTTGACCAGGTCCTTGAAGAGAAGCAGGAATGCACCATTTATGATCCCATTGTTCAGCTCCTTGGGATGAATCTGAGAGAAGAGGACATGTGAGAATTGGAAGACTTTGGAAATCCTCTGTCTTGTGTTGCTGCTCAGCGCTGTAGAACAAGTGCAAGTATCAAACCGAATAGGGACTCACATCGAACTCCAGGAGTGTGTCAATCTGTGTCTGCAGAACAGGCATGCCTTTCAACAGCTTCTCAGTGGTCATGGTCCTCATCACGCCCTCAGCACTAGAAGAATACAACAGAGCGTTAGATGCTCACAGGGATGACAACTGCAATAGGATATAGCTCATAGTGTAAACATACAAAGTGTAGGCATGAGAAAGAAAGACCTATGACCGCCAACTCTCTGACCACCATGATTAACGTACCCCTTCTTGACTCTGGTGAAATCAAAAGCCATCTGGCGGTAGGCGAAGGCTTTCTCGTTCAGGTATCGGCCGTACCGTCTGATGAATGTAGACATGTCATAGCCTAAACAGAAAATGTATGTCAGATAGCAGGCAGGGTTCGTTACCTCCGCCAAGAGAGTTATGTTCTCAGCTTGGTTAGTCTGTTGGCGGAGACCAAAGTGCCATGAAGGTATGAGACTTGATGGAAGGGTGTATAGTTAACCGAAGCTGGACCCATTTAATTTGGGATCTAATCCAAATGATGGGGCTGATGCTCAAATTATGTTTCGCTTTCATTAATATAGAGAGTTATGGAATGGCCTTGGCAGAGGACTGCACTTTGAGTGCCCTCTAAGGCTGGTTACTTTTGCTTTTTATATTAGGAAACAATCTGCAAAGTCATAAATGGTTCTGCTCACTGTACTCTAAGGGATCTTTGTCCGAAAGGGACAATGTTTTCTACAAATGGACTGAACAGTGGCTTCTTCCAGCCAGAAAATAAGACTTTTTGAGAGCATGGGAACAGAAAATATGGGAGAAGAAGAATCACTTCAACTAATATTTTCAAAGGAAAACCATAAAAAGGGATGCTCCTTAAAATAATTGGCTAAAACGCAACTCCAAACGTTTCCCAAATATCATGAATTCAAGCTAAAAGATCTGATTTGCCGTTAGTTTCAACCATTATTTCATCCATATAAGTGCTGGGTAACACTTATCTAACAAAAAGCTGAGAGAAATACCACACACTGCTGTCTTGTTAACCATTTTCTTTTTTCTTCTTTATCCCACACGGACAAGACAACATTTCAATCATATAAGTACGTATTTATATAAACCAAGTCTATCAGTATTATCTTTAGCTATTGTAAATTGGTTTAGATTCATTTGTCTTACATATTTCCCCAGGCAATATCAACAGTCCCTGAAACATTAGACAGAGCGGCCAAAGGTACAGCATCTGTTTTCATGCATGTGTAATCATGTCCCTCCTATGTATTTGCCAGATGGCTCTCTTCGTTTCTTTTTTCTCCAGACACTGATATTGTTCTTACCGTGAGAGCCAGTTTTGTCGATGAAATTGCTGAGGTTGAACAGGGAGGTCCTGGAAGCCAAGTACTGAATGAACCTCTGAGGGAGAGAAAGGTAAACAATCAACAGTCGCTATAGTAATCAAGAGCAATGGGGGGAGGAAATTAAGTTAAAGTTAAGGGAAGCCTCTAGAGGTAAGTAGACTGTAACTAAATCCACATTAGGACATTTATTTTACAAAATATGCAAATGAGGCAATTCCCATACATTTGATACATTAAGGTTTTTACAGATGCAATATCTTCATATCACTCCAATAATCAGGAAATACTGTCAACAGCTAAGTTTTCAGGTATTTCTATGAATCAGGCTGAATAATGGACGAACCCCTGGAGAATTCTACATTTCTGAGTATGAGAAGAATTCTTAGAAATGTACATTAATGAAAGCCTATTATACAATTCCATCCAGTTTGCACTACACTACAGATAGCAATGTACTGTATCTCATAGATATCACTTTAAAACCTTCCAAGTTAATTACTTACAATTGTTTTTTTATTACAAGTGTTGAATAAATCCACAGTTGCAAATAGACAAATAGAATATAAACATACATTTGATTTTTTTTGTCCTCTCCATTGGTCTAAAAGAGACATGTTAAAGAAGCCAAATAGACCAAACTCTCAAAAGTAAGACAACAATGTATTTGTGTGTAGTATCTCGCTACAACCAAACAATTTAATACAAAAAAAATATTTCACTCAATCACATAGCAGCCTTTGTAGACAAACATTCAATGGATGACTGCTAATACACTTAACCCACAGGACTGGTTTAATGTTTTCAAGGAATTATGTTTAAAACCTTTTTTTTGCCTAGCGTCCATCAGCACCACAAACCCTTAAAGCACTCGGAAGACTCTTCAAAGTGCTCAGATGTTAATTATCGAGGCCATTCCTATACATTTGGATAATTTAGCAATTCTATGCAGTCCTTTTTATCATTCATTTTCCTCCATAATCCTAACAATATGATATTTGTATCTTATATATCTGAATCCAACTAGATTCAGGCTTGAACCGAACATCTCCACATGTCAATGGTCTCATCCACTAACCTCGTTGCCGTGGACACACATGTGATGGCTGGTGACGAGGGCCTTGAAGACCACCACCCAGCTGGCATTGGTGGCTCGCTCAAACAGTGTGTCCGCCATCTGAGGGATGTTCACGTTGGTGGTGTTGGTAGCTGACACCAGGTCTGCAACACAGCCACAGAGAAAACATTATCATTATTGGAATCATGTGGAATATGGTGGTCTGATATTTAGCTTTTTTGGTTTCCAATAAGGAATCAATCAATGTTTATTTATATAGCCCAATATCACAAATGTTACATTTGTCTCAGTGGACTTCACAGTGTGTACAGAATATCAGTATGACAATACGACACCCTCTGTCCTTAGACCCTCACATCGTACAAGGAAAAACTTCCGGAGAAAACCCACAGTTTAAAGGGAAAAATGGGAGAAACCTCAGGGAGAGCAACAGAGGAGGGATCCCTCTCCCAGGACGGACAGACGTGCAATAGATGCCGTGTGTACATTGAAAAGATAATACATCTTGGAAAGACACGGTTAGTTTAGTCTCAGACAAATGCTTCCATCATTTGATAGACTTGGATTCAACTTTGATTAAGTGGGCAGGCTAAGTGTTCGCTGCAGAGCTGCCTCAGACGCCCATGAGAATATTAAGCTAGGAGGAAGACCTGATGTACATACCAAATGCTATCAGAACTCTCTCTCTCTCACACACACACATACACACACACACACACACACACACACACACACACACACACACACACACACACACACACACACACACACACACACACACACACACACACATACTGACAACGCAGGAATACTGAAAAGAGCTTAGTCAGCCAAACTTCGAGTTCAGACAGGGCTCTAACATTAAGAGTCCAAGGTATTGCATCAGCACAGGGTGTGAATATATAATGAGGATAGTGAAATGCATCTCATTTCTCACACACATGCAATAATCTCTTCCTGCTCTCTAGCATGAAGAAGTGTCATTTTCTTCTGGTCAATAAGCAATTACTACCTAAAACACTTTTTTAATGAATAACATGCTTCCAAAAAGGGCTTGATTTAAACATAAAATTATTAAATTTTTACAAACAATTTTCCGAATTGTCAGAAAATAGTTAAATTCCAAGAAATGTATGAAATTATCAATTACCATCAACGATTGTAAAGAAAAAAGAATCTCACATTTGATGTATTCCCCATCAGATGTGGGAGTTTCTTCTTAGATAAAGGGAGATAGGGAGGCAGACAGATGGCCGCAGAAACAGTCATGCAAATATAAAAAGAGAGCGAGAGCATTTGGTCTGGCAGAGGAGGTAACACTTTGAAAAAAAAAAGGATAGATGATATTTCTCTAGAGGAGTATATTGCAGAATGATTACCAATCATGCAGCACTACATCATGTTTGACATATTGACATGAAAAGATACAGAGCCACATATTGTATTTGGTGAGGGCACAGATAAAGATCAGAATAACAATATCCTCTAAAAGTGCATTTTTGTTGTTGTTCCCCTGACATTGACAGCGAAGCAACAAGGGCAGGGCTGAGTGTCTCCATACAGAGTGCCAGAGAGAGACGCAGGAAATATTGGCAAGCTGCTCTGATAATGGAAGGAGAGGAAGGCCATTATATTGAACAGGGCCTTGGCCTCGCCTTGAGTCGTATATGCCAACATGTAGGCCATAAATAAATCAAGATATGGGAATGAAGGAAGAGAAGCAGAGGGAGTCTGTTGGGAAGCGCTAATGTAGACACAGAAAGGATGTTCAAGTTCATACCAGGCTAGACAGAGGGGCTGGGGGCTTGTAAACAGATTATTACTAATCACTGGCCCTGGTCTCACTGCCCATCCCCCGTACAGCACACATATATACACACCTGACTTTACACTTAACAGTTGTACACCATGCTAACACTTCTTTTGACACCAGTGCTGTCAGTCAGTGCAATGATTTATGTTTCTAGCACAGGATGGAACAGACAATATCAGCTTGAAGATATACCCACATACAGTAAGAGCTTTGTTTCCATCCTGACTCTACTTGGATGTTTCCCTTTTCTTTCTGTCCCTTCTTTATCCTCGCTTCTACACGACAAAGCTGAATACTACAGTGGCCTGCAGGCTCTTCAAATGACACACACAGAGACGAGGTCCTCAATGGCTGAAATGTGATTATGTAACATTATCATGTCCCTGGCACGGCTACAAGTTAGTATTTATACTAGCACGATAAACACAGCGTTATCCGCAACCATTTTAAGACTTTCAGCTCAGTATCAGAGGTGGTAGAAGTATTAAGTAAAGGAATATCACAGTAAACATGAGTAAAGTTTAAGTAAAAGATATTACTAATTTGAAAACACAAGATTATAAACTTAAAATATACTCCATTTCTAAATAATCTATCTCTGGGTTAAAATTAGTGATGCAATCATTTAAGGTGGCGCTAATTGTACTTTATATACTGCTTGGCAGGTAATAATACATTTTAATTTATTAGATTTATATTTATTTATAATCTATATCTGCAGTTGCTAAAACTGTCAAATAATTGTGGAGAGGTTATAGTAATATTTAGTAGAATTACAAAAAGTATAAAGTAGCATAAAATGAAAATACATATTACTTTGGTACATTCCACCACTATTGATAATACTAAAGAATTGATGTATATAGATATATATATATATATAGATATAGATATGTGTTTACTGTTAACAGGCCATATCATAGGTTATAATCCCTGCTCTCTGTTTATTATCTTATAAACACACACTGACTTGTGTGTGTGTGTGTGTGTGTATCTAATGAGGATTGGCTGAGCTAAATAAAGACTATAGACGGTAATCCACGGGCCACAGGAGAGCTCTAAGAATGAACTGAGGTGTCAAAATACTGTGCGAATGAATGTTGGGTGTGTTACAGTGTCCATTTTTAGTTGCTATCTGCTGTAATTTATTTTAATGTTGCAAGAAAAACCACTTGATTAGTAGTCAGATGCCATCCTTTAAATAGTTTTCTCGATCCAACACTTTCACAGGTGTAGATTTGTACGCTACAACTGTTAATCTTGCCTTTAAAAGATTATGACAAAGCGTGTTGTGGGATTGGTAGTGCATTACTATACTTGTGAAGATGAAGCCCATTTCATACTCAAAAGTCAGAGACTTGAATACAATAAAACCACTAAATATAGTTCAATATAGGGGGTGGTTTCAGAGAGAGATATAGGGGATACAGCCAACAGCCTGTTAGCTTAGCATTAACACTGAAAACACGTGGGAAACAGCTAGCCTAGCTCTGTCTGAAGATAACAAAATTCAAGAAGCCTGACAGCAAGACCTCAGGATGTTACTTACACCTAACGGCCTGTAGAAGAGCAGCTTGTCCTTTTTACACTTCAGTTTTTGAGAGATAGAACTCTTAATTAGTGATCTTTAATGGTCCTGTAGGTGCTGGCTAGATTTATTTTACTCTGCAAAAAACAGCTACTTCTACATCAACAACAGTACTATAGATGTATTTCAATGATTGCCCTTGGTGTTGAGATGAATCCTCTCTTTTAGTTGACCTTGCATGGACCACGTGTTCTCTAGAAATGTGTAACAAATTCCTCCAGTGACTCTTTTTACTAGTATACAACAAAATGATCAGGAATATGAAATTCAAGTGTGTTTTACACATAATTGTGAAACATAACACTCATTTAACACCTGGGTTTCATTCCCTGCACTGAAATCAAATGTAGACATCGAAGACAAAAGAAAAGAATACATTTGCTCTTCAGAGAAAAATCCTACATATATATGATCTTTTAGCTTTTTGTAGTTAGGCCCCTGTCATTCAGAACAACTTCTCAGGCCCTTCATTGCTAAGGTAACACATCTCCACCTCAACCCCTAATGTTTCCAAGTGCTAATATGGTAAGCTTTACAGCGGCAAAGAAAAACAAAACTACCAACAAAACAGGACTCACTGCATTTCGTTTTCCACAGTAACTCATTCCAATGTTCACCATATGCTAATGGAGGTAAGAACTGCAAAGAACTTCAACTATGGTAATGCCAAAACAGAAACCTTTACTTCTTCCTGTTTGACCGCACCATTTTCAAACTTCCTTTGTAGAATAATTAAACCTGGTGGAAGACAGAATTGCAGTAAAAGCAAGGTTTATATACAGAACACATCTAAATGCTGAAGGTGTCAGATCCGTACAGCTATTACATCGTGTATCAACATGTACTTCATAGTGATGAAGCAAATAGTCAATTGCCATTTTGACATTTAAGGCAAGTGTTCTACTTAAAATGCAAACGTGTTATAATATATGTTAAGTGTATGTGTTGTCTCCTGGGTTCTGTAGTGCCCGGAGTCTGTCTTTTTATTTGTTTTCCTCCCAAACCCCATCCCCTCAGGAAGCCTTTGCCTCCTGTCAGGTCATCATTGTAAATAAGAATTTGTTCTTAATTGATTTCCCTGGATAAATAAAGGTTCTACTACTACTAAGTGTATTAAATAAAATTTGACTGAAAGATTACAGATACGTTCAGTTTATTGGTTCAATTTAAAGACATACTGAATGCACTCTACAGATGACAACCTGTCATTTGACTTCTTCCTCCTCACAATCGCCCCCTGTCATTAGAGTGCCATCCCCTGACACTCTCAATCTGTTGCCATGGCAACTGCCCTGCACCACCACCGCCACCAACACACCCACCCCAAGGGTCACTGACTGTGTCACGGTGACAAAGGACTAAATATGACCTGTCAGCTTTAATATTTATCTCTCATCAACTACACCATCAATTAAACACAGTGAAAGATGATTATTTAGGCGGCCTTTACTTATTATCAATGATCACTTTGCAGTTATTTCCCTTTTTTTTGTCTCAACTACACCAAGACATAAATTAATCAACGCTGAGTTTTTTGAGGTTAGGAATTTCCTCCTGCCAAGACACACATGCAAGAGAAGCACAGTGGCCTACATACAAGAAGCGTGTGTAGCTTGAATGGATACAGCATAACCTCAAAGACAAAATAAATGATGTATCAATTAGTCTACAAATTCCATTTAGAATTAACCCATAATTGTTTAGTTAATAAATGCAGAGAATAATAAAAAATGTGCACCACCGTTTCTGTGCAAGGTCATGTGTTTATGCCTTGTTGTATGAAAAACAGAGAAAAGCAGGAAATCCTCAAATTTGAGAGGCTGAAAACGTGTGTTTTCTGACATTTTTATATTATTAATTGCTTAAGCGATTAATCAATAAAGCCATATCAAAATAGTCATAATTTTCTGTCAATAGATAATAAAATAGATTTGTTGTCTAGTCATTTATTTATTCATTTATTATGTGTAATGTATTACATTTGCTTTAGATTAAAGTGTGTGCGGTACCAAGAGGTCTATCTCTCCTGCAGCTGAACAGAGAGATCATGCGCACTAGTCTCTAAAGACAAAAGTTAAAGACACAAAAAAAACAGACATAGACACATCTAAAAAGCAATGATCTCTGGTACTTTGCAAGCATTAGTATTGTCAACTTTGGCTGTGTAAATAATGCAAGGCAGTCATTGGCTGATTAATAAATAATTCAGCAGAGTAGCGGATCGCAAGATATAAGGTCCAAGACACAGGACCAGAGCTGGCCAGCCACAGACACAGACAGACTTAAAAAGGAAAAAAGGCACAGAGAGCTAACCAGCCGTTATCTGTATGCAGCGCCACGCCACTGCTTTGGTCTGACTCACTATGTGTAGTAGATGACAGTAATTCATCACGATTTGCCATAAGGTGGCCCCTGCTGTCAACTGGAGATGTGTCAATAAAGCTGTGAGGTTTGATAATTGTATTCAGCTGTGACATGGCTCTTAATTGATCTGAACTTACTGATAGACAAATGTATGTATTTGCATGATGTTTAGACAGCATTAGCTTGATATAAAATGTTATTTTAGTATGTGTGACACTTCATTCATCATCCAGACATGCAGCCTTACAAAGCTTCAGTGCTGCAGCAGCACAGAGAAGGGAAATACAATTGTATTTTTCTGAGGATGACATGTCAGTCTGCCTTAAAATATGACCTTTTCTCCCTCTCCCTTTCTCAGGGGGCTGTCACAAAGGGTCACCAGAGGGGTCATCACCATCGTGGCTGCATCAATTCATTATGGCACCACACCCATTAAAGGCAAGGTGATTAAGAAATGGCTGGTGGTGATCATTCTGGCATGAGGTCTCAATGGATATGTGTGCAGCCTAGGCCCATCTAAGGCCAGCTCTTACAGTATGAACGGAAAAGAAGGACTATACTTACACTCCAGGTGCTTTTTCTTGGGCGCCATCACTTCATGAGTGGTGGCTTTGCAGACAGCCCGGGCCATATCTGATCCCGTTAGCTGGTATTGCGCAGCGGCGATGCGATCCGTGAGCGTTTGCCCCGACATTTTCTCTGCGTTGAATCGACCACCTCAGGAATGTGTTTCACCTCGGGACGATGAATAAATGAATGAATATCACCCGGCTGCTTCCCGGTGGTTCAGTGAGCGGATCCCGTGCGTTCCTCTTCCCCGACGGATAGGCCTGTGACCTTCTGTGTGGGCGGAAAAAAAAGCACACAAAATGAGCTCAAACCCCCTAACATTAACGCTATTTTTGCATCAAACCGTGCGATCACGTCGGTAATATGCGCGATGACATGGGTAGACTTACGCAAGGTTGTGAATTCCCCACGGCTCGTACCGTTAGGCTCCGACCGTTTACTTCAGCACCTTGGACAGCTATAACCACTCGGTTATACCCAACCGAGAATAAAAGCTATTTTATTACCCCGCAGCAATTTATTAAAAAGAAAAAAATAGGCCAATGAAAAACGCAGGTGAATGCGAGGCTCCTATAAAATATGCTTGAAAAATGACTGACTGTAAATCAACACTCCATAGGTCGGTCAAATATCCCGTATGAGGGGTTGGCTGTCTTCCTCCCTGCAAGAAAAAACGCTTTCAAAATAAGAGAATTTCCTCCTCGGTGATTCTTTTCCGTTCAGCTCAGAAATGCCGCTTCAGATGATCCTCTCTTCAGATCGTAGGAAAAATGCGCACCGCTCCCCGTTGGTGTCGCCAACACTGCGCAGCGCACGATGCTCAGGAAGAGGAAGGGAATTTCCTTTTTTCTCCTTCCCCCCTTGTCAATTGTTTATTTATTTGGCCTTTCTATACGTCCATATTCTAGACTCTCCTCCCCCAGCGGGTACTTGGACAGGGTTGGATGACACACGTCGCATCACACGTCTCTTAAAGGGGAGTCACTATAAGGAACTCATATCACTATGCGCCAAAGGGTTAATATGTGCTGCTGCATGTATGCATCAAACAGGTTTTCACACAGGACATACAGAGTGAAAGATGATTGAAGTGAAACATGGCTGCTAGATATAAGCATACCCTCTATTTCCGCCAAAAATATATAGGCCAATTTTGGATTTATGGTTATCATCTAAGCTTGATCCAGGTTTTAAATTGGCCAAAAATACTAATATAATATAAGACAAGAACAAACATCGTGGAGTAATTTCTCTCCAGCGGTCGAATGTGTTACCATGCAGGGTATAAAAACAACGTCTTAATGTTTATCTTCGAGATATTCAGCTTACTGGTCTAACCGGAAATGCAATGAGAACAAATTAGGCTTTTATTTATTTAAAGACCATGCAACAAATAAACGGAATCACATCTAATTGCATAGATATTTGGCTTGATTGTGGTGTTTAGGGCGTCCCTGCATAATCATTAAAGTAATATAATCATGGCTGTGATGGGAGAGATTCATGCGTGGAGAAAAGGCACGTCCTGCGTAATTACGTCATGTGACGTACACGGAACTGTAGCCACGTCGTCAATGAGAGGAACCGGAAAAACAGGAAGCGTTGACTACACCAGACTTTAGTGCTGATTGTACAGAAAACAAAACAGTAAGTGCATTTAAAACAACATTACGTGATTACATGTATGAATTAGGTTTGTTTGTTTACGTTTAATGCTGAATGAACTTGTTTTTGCTGCGTGTTGATGTATTTTCAGCTAGTAAATGTAAGTCTAAGGAAGTTGCTCTGTCATTTCAATAGATGTGATTCATTTTATTGAGTTTATCTGTTTAGTAGGCGACAGACTGCCGCTGCAATAAGTGCAAACTTTGCCCTCTTCTTGTCCTTTGACATTCAATATAAAAGCTTTGTCTAGCTGTTGTCTTCAAAGGGCGTTTAGCCTGAAATAAGACATGTTTACTATGTTTTAATATATCATGTATGATTGAAAAAGCCCAAAAGCTTTCTCAGTATATGGAATAGTTCAAATCTCTCATCCTCAACCAGCTACAACTTCAAAATGTGTATTTATGCAGTAGTAATATTAGTGTTAAGTAATAATAAGCCTCTTATCTGCTGATATTACTATGACTGGAATCATTCTGTTGGAAAACAACAAGATTATTTCTTTAAATGTTAATGTTGATATGTCACATACTGTACATGTTGGTGATATTGCCTGTGTTCTTTAAATTGAGTTAACATTTTATTGATTTTGTTTGACTTTTCATTGTTGTAATGGACCTAAATACTTTGTCTATCACTCCAATGTCTGCTTTTTATGTTTTTCAAATGTTTTTCAGTGATGTCCGAGTTTCAGGAAGTATCAAAGCAGTCCGGTGTTCACCCAAAGCCTGCAGGGTTGGTTTTTCAGTATGGCACCGCAGGTTTCAGGACCAACGCAAAACTGCTGGACCACATCATGTTCAGGATGGGACTGCTGGCAACCCTCCGCTCCAAAACAACCAAAGCCACCATCGGAGTCATGGTCACTGCATCACACAACCCTGAGGTGAAAAAAACCTCCTAATGTCTCCTTACATCTTGCTATAAATCTATGATTTAGTTTATATTCTGTGTGGATATTTTAGATAACTGTTTTTTTCTTCCTGTCATACTATTTATTTTATCTCATAACATTGTTTTCTTTTTATGTTCTTAATAACAAATGTCAGTTTCCACCGCTCCCTTTCCTTGGCCTTTCATGGGATTCTACCAGTTTAAACAATTTCTTTAATAACATCATATTAATAACCCTCCCCTCCAACTTCTCTCTTGATATCTATGTAGGAGGACAACGGGGTGAAGCTTGTTGACCCCATGGGGGAGATGGTTTCACCGACATGGGAGGTCTACGCTACCCAGCTGGCCAACGCTGAGCAGGAGGATTTGCTGGCGGCGCTGAAGGATATCATAGAGAAAGAGGCCGTAAACATGAGCCAGGAGGCTAAGGTGTTTGTGGGCAAAGACACCAGGTATTTAAAGTGATGTCATCTCTAATTTGGATTTCTTAGATGGAAAGATGCACATTGAAGCACAGAAAGATACACATACACTGAACAAAAATATAAATGCAACACTTTTGTTTTTGCTCCCATTTTTCATGAGATGAACTCAAAGATCTAAAACATTTTCTATAAACACAAAATAACCATTTCTCTCAAATATTGTTCACAAATCTGAAACAATCTGTGATAGTGAGCACTTCTCCTTTGCCGAGATAATCCATCCCACCTCACAGGTGTGGCATATCAAGATGCTGATTAGACAGCATGATTATTGCACAGGTGTGCCTTAGGCTGGCCACAATAAAAGGCCACTCTGAAACGTGCAGTTTTGCTTTATTGGGGGGGTCTTGGGGGGTCCGAAAACCAGTCAGTATCTGGTGTGACCACCATTTGCCTCACGCAGTGCAACACATCTCCTTCGCATAGAGTTGATCAGGTTGTTGATTGTGGCCTGTGGAATGTTGGTCCACTCCTCTTCAATGGCTGTGCGAAGTTGCTGGATATTGGCAGGAACTGGAACACGCTGTCGTATACGCCGATCCAGAGCATCCCAAACATGCTCAATGGGTGACATGTCCGGTGAGTATGCTGGCCATGCAAGAACTGGGATGTTTTCAGCCTCCAGGAATTGTGTACAGATCCTTGCAACATGGGGCCGTGCATTATCATGCTGCAACATGAGGTGATGGTCGTGGATGAATGGCACAACAATGGGCCTCAGGATCTCGTCACGGTATCTCTGTGCATTCACAATGCCATCAATAAAATGCACCTGTGTTCGTCGTCCATAACATACGCCTGCCCGATTCACAACATTGACATCAGAAAACCGCTCACCCACACGACGCCACACACGTTGTCTGCCATCTGCCCTGAACAGTGAAAACCGGGATTCATCCGTGAAGAGAACACCTCTCCAACGTGCCAGACGCCATCGAATGTGAGCATTTGCCCACTCAAGTCGGTTACGACGACGAACCGGAGTCAGGTCGAGACCCCGATGAGGACGACGAGCATGCAGATGAGCTTCCCTGAGACGGTTTCTGACAGTTTGTGCAGAAATTCTTTGGTTATGCAAACCGATTGTTGCAGCAGCTGTCCGAGTGGCTGGTCTCAGACGATCTTGGAGGTGAACATGCTGGATGTGGAGGTCCTGGGCTAGTGTGGTTACACGTGGTCTGCGGTTGTGAGGCCGGTTGGATGTACTGCCAAATTCTCTGAAACGCCTTTGGAGACGGCTTATGGTAGAGAAATGAACATTCAATTCACGGGCAACAGCTCTGGTGGACATTCCTGCTGTCAGCATGCCAATTGCACGCTCCCCTCAAAACTTGCGACATCTGTGGCATTGTGCTGTGTGATAAAACTGCACGTTTCAGAGTGGCCTTTTATTGTGGCCAGCCTAAGGCACACCTGTGCAATAATCATGCTGTCTAATCAGCATCTTGATATGCCACACCTGTGAGGTGGGATGGATTATCTCGGCAAAGGAGAAGTGCTCACTATCACAGATTTTTTCAGATTTGTGAACAATATTTGAGAGAAATGGTTATTTTGTGTATATAGAAAATGTTTTAGATCTTTGAGTTCATCTCATGAAAAATGGGAGCAAAAACAAAAGTGTTGCATTTATATTTTTATTCAGTGTAGATGCACTTGTAGCAGACCTTTTATGCCTTTTACTATTCACTTGTTCTTTCTGTGGCCGCAAATGCTCTTACTGCACATAACATTTTATTATGTTATGTGTTTTTCAAACAATAGAGGCAGCAGTGCCCGCCTTTCACAGGCAGTATTGGATGGAGTATCTGCACTCGGGGGTCACAGCAAAGGTAGGGTTAAAAAAAACATCTATACTCCTTATATTTAACTCATTAGTTTACCTTCTTAGTTTTATTATTCCTCTACCGTTTGTCTTATCTTGCACTTTATCTGACTCTTTCTTTCGATCCCATCAGACTATGGTTTGGTGACGACCCCACAGCTCCACTACATGGTTTGCTGTCAGAACACGCAGGGGAAATACGGAGAAGCCACAGTGGAAGGATACTATAAGAAACTCTCCCAAGCTTTCATTAAGCTCTCAAAGAATGTAAGAAACCAGGGTGTGTCCTGTGTTGCTGTGACTTCACTCAAGCTTTTTTTATTTGGGGGCGTGTCTTTTAATTACACCTATCCATCAAGGAATAACTAATTTCTCCTTCCCCCTTTTTGCTCACCTCTCTTGCAGGCGTCCAACTGCACAGACGACCAGAAGCACCTCTCTGTGGATGGCGCTAATGGCATTGGGGCCCTAAAGGTGCGCGAGATGGAGAGTCACCTGAAAAAGGAGCTGCATATATCGCTGTTCAACGATGGCAGTGAAGGAAAGCTCAACCACCAGTGTGGGGCGGACTTTGTCAAAGTGCAGCAAAAACCTCCAACAGGTAGAGCCGTGCTTTTTAGACTTTCAGATTTATGATGTGACGCAAATTAAAATGATTTGTATTAAAAGAAAAATACTTTTTTAATATACACATACAATGACAACAAAACAGTTAATGAAATGCTTCTGTCTTATCTCATGTGAAATCACAGATGCATTATCTGACCACAAGATGGAGACAGTTAATCAGCAAACTGCCTTAGAAATGTCTACGTTTTGGTCTTACACTTACTAATTTGACATCCGTTATAATTGATGTGTCCCTTTTTTTTTTAAAGTAGCCATGTGTCAAATAAATGTATAGCCCCAAGATAAACCTAGGTGCTGTTTTTTATGGCCTTCTTCGCTCTTGCGCCTTTCTTTCTATTTCTCTGTAAAGGCATGGAGATCAACCCGGGGGAGCGCTGCTGTTCCTTTGACGGTGACGCTGACCGAATCGT